CGTTTGAAAGCTTGACTTCTTAGCTACAATTTTGCCATGTATCATTTTGCTGTAACTCGATTCTGTTCCGAACTACAGCGATTTTACGAAAAAAAAATTTTTTGATGTCGAAAAAAACGAGGGGCGTAACTATTCTTGCAGCTATTAATGATATAATACTAAAAAAATATATAAATTAATTTGTTAATTGGAGGATTTTTTCTGGTTTTTTTCTTCCAATTTCTTACAATTCTAACCTAGAAACAAGCACACACAAAAAAATACACTGTTTTGTAGTTTTTGCTGTCATCAGTGGAAGAATAGTTACGCCCCATCCGCCCATTTTTTGAAAAAACACTTGTAAAATTTTTGAACAATAGAATATCAAAAATCCATTATGATATTCGTGTTCAGCACTAAATTTGACTTTAGAAATAATTTTTCCGATAATTTTTCCGACCGTTTATCACTATTTACAATGGCAGACTAAATGAGTGAAAACAAGTAAGCGAGTATATCAAAATCACATTTGGGTACCTAACTCCAATGATAGATGGCGCCAGAAGCTCAAATGTGGCGTACAATGTTCATTTCACATGACAAGTATACAGTGTAAAAAAAACTTTAATCGGATGAATAGTTTTCTCTCCAGGACAAAGAATAGTTACGCCCCGCGAATAGTAATGCCCCACCCTACCCTAATAAAATTAAAAAATTGAATTTTGGAATTATTTTAGTTAAAAGTTATAAAAAAATAATTTTAATAAAAATTGTAAAAAATAATTGACTTTTTCCACAATTTCAGTTAAAAATTGTAAAAAATAATTTTAATTATAAACTTTCGAAAAAATATTTAAAATAATTAATTTAGAGATGAAGTTTAGTTGAAAATCATTGTTAAAAATAATTGAATTCAAGAAGGTTTATAATTATTGTAATTTTTAGGATTTTGAGGTTATGTGTTCGATTCGTTGAGATAAAAAGCAAAGGGGAGAGATTTAGTGTAGGAGGGGGGGGGGATTAAAATAATACAGTTGATGTTTTGTTCGCCTTGGGACAAATTCATTGTAGAATCGCCTTAAAGTACTCATCAGAGAACATTTTAGCAATTACACTAATTAGTAAAGTAGTTACGTTTTTAAAATATAAATGCAGAAAGAAAAATTAGCCAAAATAATTTTAGAGACAGAAAAATAGTAAAAAAAAATAACTTTTTATTCCTTTGGATTTTTTTTTTATTTTTATAAAAACCTTTTTGTTCCATTTTAATAGAGTTTTCGAGAGAATGCTTGAATTTGTTTTTTCTGAGTAATAAAAATATATTGTAATTATAGGGGCTTTTAAAATTTTTTCTGTTGACAATTTTAGTCTTTTTATGTACATTTTTTCTCTCTCTCTCTCTCTCTTTTCTCTTCTCTTTTGGTTTTATCGTGAAAAATGGAAGAGTGAGAAAATGGGTTCATTTTAGAACGTTAATAAAGTCGAAGCTGCATTTCGCCTGGCGGTTACACCATTACGTCGTACCCCATGTTCGCCCCTTCTCCCCAATTCACCTCTCCTTCATTTCTCTCTCTCTCTCTCTCTTCGCCCCCCCCCCACCCCCTTCATCGTCTCCTCTTTTCGTAGTGCGCGCTATTGATTCTGGTTCGTGCCGCCTTCCAAGCGAACGTCGCGGTCTGTTTGCCGATTTTTTTTTTTATATTATTTTAATTATTTTTTTTTCCATTAATTGAATTAAAATTCCAAGCTTTATTGAGAGAAATATATTGAATATTATAATAATGTATTCTTGAAATTCGATGTCATCACCTCAATGCAATGACCCGGTGTCAATGACTCACGGATGTAATTATCCTTTATATCTATAGTGACCGCGAAGGTTGCAGGATCTTGTTTGTGGCAACCGCGGCGATCGAGAAACAACTGACCATTAATTACGAGAGAAACAAAGACCTTAAAATATTTTAATCCATCGAGTCAATGTTAATAAGCTTTTTTTTTCTTTTCATAATTTTACCATAAAGTATATGGTTTATCCTTCTTTCTCGCAAATTTATTTTTTATTTGTTTCTTTATTTTATATATTTAAAAAAAAAATTTTTTTTTCATTATTCTATTTTTTCTTCATTATACATTTTTTTCATTTTATTTTTTTCTTTATTCTATTTTATTATTTTTCCTTTTAATTTATTTATTTAGAATATTAACAGAAAAGGCCTTTTGATACATTGAGTACTTCTATATTTTAAGTCTTTTTAAATTCTAATTTAATTTTTTTTTATTTCATTTAATTTTCTTTATTTTATTTTTTTTTATTTTTTTCTATTTTCTTTTTTTCTTTTATTTTTTTTTCTTTTTTTTATTTTATTCTTTTTATTTTATTCTTTTTATTTTCTTTTTCTTTTACCACTTTTTTAATTTTTATCTATTTTTTTTTACTATATTTTAAAAAATTTTTTTTTTTATTTTGAAAGAAGCAATTCATTTGTTGCAAAAAAATTAATAATTAGTAATTTTATTTTCTTTTTCTTGTAATATTTCAATGAAAATGATGCATTTTTTTTGTGAATGTAATTTTGCAATTCATCAAGTTGTTGATAATAAAGGGGAATATTGTAGTCATGCAATGATAATTTCACGATTGTTTAAACAAATATTAATTGTTTCTCTACTACTGCGACAATTTTTCATATACAATATCGTGGAATAATGCTGAAGATTTTTATTTTTAAATTTCATTTTATTTTCAAATTTTCATAAAAAATGAATTTTTTCTATTTTTGTTTTCAAAAATTAATTTAATGATTTTTATAAAATTATATAATAAATATATTCACAATTTTTACAATTTTCACAAAAATATTTCTTGTTTGTTTAAGAAAAAAATTTGCCGAAATTTAATAATAATTTATTAATTTATTAATAATTTATTAATTTATTAATAATTTATTAATAATTTATTAATTTATTAATAAATTATTAATTTATTAATAATTTATTAATTTATTAATAATTAATTCATAATTATTATTAAATTATAAATTATTAATTATTGCAAAATTTTTTAAACAAATTGAATGTTAAGGAATTATTGAATAATTATCAGGATTCGAAAATTAATATTGAAATTTTCACGCGCATATAATTATAATAAATTAATATTACGGATATTTTTCATATTCAAGACGATGATTGTTTTCGGTGGGAAATAATGATTTTGTTGAGAAAATGAAAGGTAAATATTTTGTTTTTTTCCTTCTCGAGTAAATAGAATATAGACACGAAACAAACAGCAAACGGAAAGTGAAATGAAGATAAAATATTTCCGACAAAATTTTGTTCTTGTTTATATCACCTTCAAATATGCAAAATATAAACAAATAAATTTATTTTAACTATGAATATTTTTTTAAAACTATATTTAGGTACATTATAATTTTTATTATGAATGAAAATGAATTTTTATTAATATGAATGAAAACGAATTTTTATTAACATAAATGAAAATAATTTTTACTCACATAAATGAAAATAATTTTTATTAACATAAATGAAAATAATTTTTATTAAAATAAATGAAAAAAATTTTTTATTAAAATAAATGAAAGTGAATTTTTATTTTAAGAAAATTTGTTTATTTTGTTGTTGTTTTTCTCGAAAAATTATTATTTCCTCTTGGCCGACGAATTTTGTGTGATATATTTATTTTCTGGTTTTTTTTTCTGTTTCTTTTTTTTTCACTTTTTGTGTTTCAAAGTCTAATATAATTTGTGGTTGACGCGACGTTCAGAAATTCTCTCTTGCCAATAGTGAACATAAACTGTAGCAATTTTCGTGATTATTCGCCAATATAATCTTTTCACAGAAAGGCCACAATGATTTTTTTTAAACATAAAAAAAAGAATTATAAGAAACAATTATTTTAAGTTGAAAAAAAAAGAAAATTATTTTGTAGGTAATGAAAAAAAAACGAAGGATATAATTTTATATTTTGCAATAAAATGAAACAACAAATTATATATGTGATTTTACTGAGTTAAATATTGTCTATTAATCAATAATAATAACAAAGTATTAGAAGACACAAAAAGTATTTTAAAAAAATTTTTTTTAAATTATATTATATTATAATTATATTATATTATAATTATATAATTTATTATAATTATATAATTTATTATTTTTTAATCGAGAAATTGGAAAATTTTTAATTTTTTTCAAATACATTGTTTTAAATAAACAATTTACAACATTTCTATTTTTATATTTTAGAAAACAAAAAATTTTTTAAACAAAATTCATATGATTATTGTTTATAAAATATAATTTTTAATATTAAAAAAAAAGTTATTTTTTTTCTATTACCTTTTTAATAACAGAATTTAATTTTTTTTATCTCTATTTTTTATTTTAAAAAAAGCAAATAATTGATTAATTAACTATGGTGGAAATAATTTTTGTTTTTCATGATTAATTAACTAAAATTAGTGACATAATTTTCTTGAGTGGAATGATTATCGAAAGTCATTGTGTACAGAAGAAACTGTAGTAAATAGTTGGAAAGATCTGGAGCTCGGTTGAAATTGAAAGTTTTATAAATATTCCCACGGAATCCCAAAGTGCTTGAAAGTTTGCACGTGTTGTCTTGGCGTGTTATTTCTCTTGCATTAAAGAAGCGAAAATTAAACACTATATATTCTAATAATCACGAACAATCAAAATTCTCACAGTAATTTTTTTCTTCTCAATTTTTTTTTTCTTTTAGGAAAAATGGAATTTAAAAAAAAAATTTTTTTTTCCCTTTGGCAAAAATTTTGGCATTTCAACTGAAATCCTTTTTTGGATTTAGTAATTTTTTTTGTTGATTTTGAACTAATGTTTGTCGACTAAAAGAATTTAATTATTTTATTTTGTTTTGTATTTTTTTTTTTTTTTTTTTTTTTGATTCATGAAATCATTTACATGAGAAAAGAGACAAAACAATAATATTTAATGGTTTATTTTCTGTTGTATTTTTTCAGCATCAGTTGCAGCAAGTAACGCAGCAACAGAATAATCTGCAGACAAATAACGCGCAGAGTTTATTGCAAGACAAAATGCCGAGAGGTGGAAAGTCAGTGAAACCAAGGGGAAGGATGACCGCATATGCGTTTTTCGTTCAGACTTGTCGTCAAGAGCACAAGAAAAAACATCCCGAGGAAAATATTATTTTCCAGGAATTCTCAAAAAAATGCGCATCGAGATGGAAGGTGAGTGAATTTTCCTTTTTTTTTCTCCAAAAGAAAGTAGCGATTCAGCAAAACAAGAAGGGAACCAGAAATTAATAAATGTTGTTACAAAACAAAAAGGTTTAGTGATTCACTAAAGGTTCTGACAAAACAAAAAAGATTTAACGGTTCAATAAAGATTGTCACAAAACAAAAAGGTTTAGTGATTCACTAAACGTTGATACCAAACAGAAAAGGTTTAGTGATTCACTAAAGTTTGGCACAAAACAAAAAAGGTTTAGTGCTTCACTAAAGTTTGTCACAAAGCAAAAAAATGTTTAGTGCTTCACTAAAGTTTGTCACAAACAAAAAAGGTTCAGCAATTTTTCCAAATGTTGTCACAAAACAAAAAATATTTAGTGCTTCACTAACCAAAAAAGCATCTGGTTGATCTTTAAAAAAAAAATTGATGACCTAAAAATTGGAGCTGAACTTATCCGGAAATTCCGATCAGCTGAGTTGGTGAAATGAACTGTAATTGATTTTGGTGGGAAGTCAGTTGGGAATTAAAGTAAAAGGAATGGGAGAGCAGATGTCTTAACCCGAACAGGGTCAGAGACATCAATGATAGGTCCGGAACAAGAGCCTAGGCATTATGCCAAGTGCGATTAAAGGAGATATAAATCGTTTGAGTCAATGAAGGTCACTCCTGGCTTTGTTGAGTGTCCTATGTGCTCTAGTTGCTTCCCCAAGATAAATAGTGTGGATTATCCGGATTCTTACTATGACCCCTTAAAGCAACGAATTTTGATTTCTTCCCCTCAGGAAACATTTTTCAGTATTTGCTGTTGGAGCAGGAAATTCTACTGAATTTTAGGGGAAGTGAAAAATTTAGCAGCTTTTGGGTATTAGAAGTATTTTTAAGTGGATTCTGTTCGTTTAGTTTGTTAAAATCAGGACCCTAAAGTTTTGAACGTTCATTTGAACGAAATTTTTTTTTCTTCATTTAACAAATTTTTCTCAATAATCCTGTTTAGAATAGTAAATAAAACAAATATCAATCAAAAAATTCCAAAAATATTAATATTAAGGGTGAAAAACCACCCTTAATCAAATAACCCATATATGCATAATAATAAATTGCACAATATCACTACTATGCGTTCGGATATTTTTCTAACAACAATTCCAAAAATTCTCTAAAAATATACCAATCAATTTCCAAGAAGTTAGAATGCTCGCTCGGACCCCCAAAACCCACCCCTAATTTAACATACTTAAAAATAATATATAAAAGCCCAAAAGCGAGAGAATGCGTTCGTCTTTCTTTCTAAAAATAATTTTAAAAATTCCCTAAAAATATACCAAGCAATTTCCAAAAGGTTAGAATGCTCGCTCGGACCCCCAAAACCCACCCCTAATTTAAAATACTTAAAAAAAATACATAAAAGTGCAAAAGCGAGAGAATGCGTTCGTCTCTCTTTCTGAAAATAATTTTAAAAATTCCCTAAAAATATACCAAGCAATTTCCAAAAGGTAAGAATACTCGCTCGGACCCCCAAAACCCACCCCTAATTTAACATACTTAAAAATAATATATAAAAGCCCAAAAGCGAGAGAATGCGTTCGTCTCTCTTTCTGAAAATAATTCTAAAAATTCCCTAAAAATATACCAAGCAATTTCCAAAAGGTTAGAATGCTCGCTCGAACCCCCAAAACCCACCCCTAATTTAAAATACTTAAAAAAAATACATAAAAGTGCAAAAGCGAGAGAATGCGTTCGTCTTTCTTTCTGAAAATATTTTTTAAAATTCCCTAAAAATATACCAAGCAATTTCCAAAAGGTAAGAATGCTCGCTCGAACCCCCAAAACCCACCCCTAATTTAAAATACTTAAAAAAATACATAAAAGTGCAAAAGCGAGAGAATGCGTTCGTCTTTCTTTATGAAAATATTTTTAAAAATTCCCTAAAAATATACCAAGCAATTTCCAAAAGGTTAGAATGCTCGCTCGAACCCCCAAAAATCACCCCTAATTTAAAACAATTAAAAATAATATATAAAAGTCCAAAATCGAGAGAATGCGTTCGTCTTTCTTTCTGAAAATATTTTTTTAAATTCCCTAAAAATATACCAAGCAATTTCCAAAAGGTTAGAATGCTCGCTCGGACCCCCAAAACCCACCCCTAATTTAAAACAATTAAAAATAATATATAAAAGTCCAAAATCGAGAGAATGCGTTCGTCTTTCTTTCTGAAAATATTTTTTAAAATTCCCTAAAAATATACCAAGCAATTTCCAAAAGGTTAGAATGCTCGCTCGGACCCCCAAAACCCACCCCTAATTTAAAATACTTAGAAATAAAATATAAAAGTCCAAAATCGAGAGAATGCGTTCGTCTTTCTTTCTGAAAATATTTTTTAAAATTCCCTAAAAATATACCAAGCAATTTCCAAAAGGTTAGAATGCTCGCTCGAACCCCCAAAACTCACCCCTAATTTAAAATACTTAAAAATAATATATAAAAGTCCAAAAGCGAGAGAATGCGTTCGGCTTTTGATCTCAAAATATTTTTAAAAATTCCCTAAAAATGTACCAAGCAATTTCCAAAAGGTTAGAATGCTCGCTCGAACCCCCAAAACTCACCCCTAATTAAAAACAATTAAAAATAATATATAAAAGTCCAAAATCGAGAGAATGCGTTCGTCTTTCTTTCTGAAAATATTTTTTAAAATTCCCTAAAAATATACCAAGCAATTTCCAAAAGGTTAGAATGCTCGCTCGGACCCCCAAAACCCACCCCTAATTTAAAACAATTAAAAATAATATATAAAAGTCCAAAATCGAGCGAATGCGTTCGTCTTTCTTTCTGAAAATAATTTTAAAAATTCCCTAAAAATATACCAAGCAATTTCCAAAAGGTAAGAATGCTCGCTCGGACCCCCAAAACCCACCCCTAATTTAACATACTTAAAAATAATATATAAAAGCCCAAAAGCGAGAGAATGCGTTCGTCTTTCTTTCTGAAAATAATTTTAAAAATTCCCTAAAAATATACCAAGCAATTTCCAAAAGGTAAGAATGCTCGCTCGGACCCCCAAAACCCACCCCTAATTTAACATACTTAAAAATAATATATAAAAGCCCAAAAGCGAGAGAATGCGTTCGTCTCTCTTTCTGAAAATAATTCTAAAAATTCCCTAAAAATATACCAAGCAATTTCCAAAAGGTAAGAATGCTCGCTCGAACCCCCAAAACCCACCCCTAATTTAAAATACTTAAAAAAATACATAAAAGTGCAAAAGCGAGAGAATGCGTTCGTCTTTCTTTATGAAAATATTTTTAAAAATTCCCTAAAAATATACCAAGCAATTTCCAAAAGGTTAGAATGCTCGCTCGAACCCCCAAAAATCACCCCTAATTTAAAACAATTAAAAATAATATATAAAAGTCCAAAATCGAGAGAATGCGTTCGTCTTTCTTTCTGAAAATATTTTTTTAAATTCCCTAAAAATATACCAAGCAATTTCCAAAAGGTTAGAATGCTCGCTCGGACCCCCAAAACCCACCCCTAATTTAAAACAATTAAAAATAATATATAAAAGTCCAAAATCGAGAGAATGCGTTCGTCTTTCTTTCTGAAAATAATTTTAAAAATTCCCTAAAAATATACCAAGCAATTTCCAAAAGGTAAGAATGCTCGCTCGGACCCCCAAAACCCACCCCTAATTTAACATACTTAAAAATAATATATAAAAGCCCAAAAGCGAGAGAATGCGTTCGTCTTTCTTTCTGAAAATAATTTTAAAAATTCCCTAAAAATATACCAAGCAATTTCCAAAAGGTGAGAATGCTCGCTCGGACCCCCAAAACCCACCCCTAATTTAACATACTTAAAAATAATATATAAAAGCCCAAAAGCGAGAGAATGCGTTCGGCTTTTGATCTCAAAATATTTTTAAAAATTCCCTAAAAATGTACCAAGCAATTTCCAAAAGGTTAGAATGCTCGCTCGAACCCCCAAAACTCACCCCTAATTAAAAACAATTAAAAATAATATATAAAAGTCCAAAATCGAGAGAATGCGTTCGTCTTCCTTTCTGAAAATAATTTTAAAAATTCCCTAAAAATATACCAAGCAATTTCCAAAAGGTAAGAATGCTCGCTCAAACCCCCAAAACCCACCCCTAATTTAAAATACTTAAAAAAATACATAAAAGTGCAAAAGCGAGAGAATGCGTTCGTCTTTCTTTCTGAAAATAATTTTAAAAATTCCCTAAAAATATACCAAGCAATTTCCAAAAGGTAAGAATGCTCGCTCGGACCCCCAAAACCCACCCCTAATTTAACATACTTAAAAATAATATATAAAAGCCCAAAAGCGAGAGAATGCGTTCGTCTTTCTTTCTGAAAATAATTTTAAAAATTCCCTAAAAATATACCAAGCAATTTCCAAAAGGTAAGAATACTCGCTCGGACCCCCAAAACCCACCCCTAATTTAACATACTTAAAAATAATATATAAAAGCCCAAAAGCGAGAGAATGCGTTCGTCTCTCTTTCTGAAAATAATTCTAAAAATTCCCTAAAAATATACCAAGCAATTTCCAAAAGGTTAGAATGCTCGCTCGAACCCCCAAAACCCACCCCTAATTTAAAATACTTAAAAAAAATACATAAAAGTGCAAAAGCGAGAGAATGCGTTCGTCTTTCTTTCTGAAAATAATTTTAAAAATTCCCTAAAAATATACCAAGCAATTTCCAAAAGGTAAGAATGCTCGCTCAAACCCCCAAAACCCACCCCTAATTTAAAATACTTAAAAAAAATACATAAAAGTGCAAAAGCGAGAGAATGCGTTCGTCTTTCTTTCTGAAAATAATTTTAAAAATTCCCTAAAAATATACCAAGCAATTTCCAAAAGGTAAGAATGCTCGCTCAAACCCCCAAAACCCACCCCTAATTTAAAATACTTAAAAAAAATACATAAAAGTGCAAAAGCGAGAGAATGCGTTCGTCTTTCTTTCTGAAAATAATTTTAAAAA